CAGTAGAGTGCTGTGGCATCACAGCTCACAGCAACCTCAAACTCTTGGGCTTAAGTGATTCTCTTGCCTCAGCTTCCCAAGCAGCTGGGACTACAGGCGCCCACCACAATGCCTGGCTATTTTTGTTGTTGTTGTTTAACAGGCCCAGGCTGAGTCCAAACCCACTAGTGCCAGTGCATGTGGCCAGCACCCTAACCGCTGAGCTATGGATGCCAAGCCAGTGTTACAAATTTAAATACAGTCTTGTCTTTTTTTAATGTGTGTACACATTTCTGGCCCCCTATGTGTGTATATATGTATGTATGAGGTTGGACAGTTAAGTTTCTCAAACTCATCCTAGGAAAAGTACCGTATACCACTGTGGTCACCAGAAGGCCAAGGGGAGCACCTGGAGGGTGACAGTAGTGGTCGTCAGCAGTGGGGTGGGTAGCATGTTTTCTAGGGTGAGTTCATAGACTTAATGGTCCTGCCTGGTGTGTGAGAGTGTCTGTGTCAGCGCCAGCAGCCCAGTTCTGCCTCTGTCCCTGTCTTCTGTCCTTCTGCGTCTTCCCTCTAACCTTCCAAAACCTTATCAGGTGTCCCGTCCAAAGTCTGCTTCACGTGGCATGAGGCTCACTCCTGCTCAAGCCACGACGTTGTTAGGACCAAAATCGCCGCTGAGAGACCACCACACACAGGCAAAGACAATGAAGGGCTTTATTTGCAAGCATATGCTTGGGTCACTCCACCCTACAGCGTAGCGGGGGAAGGGCGACCCTGAAATGAAGCCAGGGGAGGTTTTTAAAGCGTATAGAGGAATTTCACTGGGCGTTTTGTCAGGAGGGGTTGCCAGAGACTGAGCTGTTGTCCAGGGATGCTTGGCACCACCTGATACGCCAGAGGTGCTATAGGGTGCGTTTACGCTTAGGGACTTTCCAGAGGAGGGTTGCCTGTCCACTTCTGGTAGACTAGTTCCATCTGGGCTGATTGACCTTGCCCAGAAATGCGGAGTGGGGAGGAGGGGGAAGCCGGTCCCCGTCAGACTGGCTGCCAAGAAGTGCAGAGGAGGGAGCCAGTCTCCTTTTGATAGACTGATTCCTTCTGGGCGACTTTGCCCAGGAGAGGAGTGGGGAGTTAGTTCCAAGATGCAGTTACATTAACCTCTTCATTCCCAAATGGAGTTACATTAACCTCTTCAGACGTTACAGTTCTGATGGCCTCAAACCAGTATCACATTCGCAGCTCACAGGGCCAGAGAGACCAGAGTGCATTACGCTGACTTGCTGGGGAGGGAGCGCCTGGCGCCAGCCTCTTTGGTCAGGAGTGATATCTGGGGACCCAGGTGTCTGGGCCAGGGAGTTAGGCAGGACCCTGGGAAGCTGGTGTGTGCCAGCCAAGCTCCGGGGCAGCTCTGAGTCCATGGGGTGCTCTCTGCTCTCCCTGTCCTCCCTCAGCCAGATCTACTGTGTGGAGAACGCCCATGGCCAGCTGGTGCGGGACCTCGACTTCAACCCCAACAAGCAGTACTACTTGGCCAGCTGTGGGGACGACTGCAAGGTGAAGTTCTGGGACACCCGGAATGTCAGCGAGCCTGTGAAGACCCTGGAGGAGCATTCCCACTGGTGGGCTTGCCACTCGCGGCTTCGGGGACGGGTTTGAATGTGCTTTGCTGACAACCTCCCGCTGGGAAGGCACGAATGGGCTTAGTTTGTGCTGTAGTGAGTCACCCAATCAAGCAGTTCATCTTCCCTAAAAAACGCTAATTCCAAATACCGATTTATAAAAGTAGGAAAAGAAGAAAAAGACTAAGTTCTGTTTTCTTTCAAAACAGTGCCAGTTCAAGTATGCAAAAATAAATGTGCACAGATGTTCACACAGCATTGTTTGCAATGCCAGGAAGCTGGAACTGCCCGCCTGCCCATCAGTGGGGCCGGTTAGGTAAATGCACTGACATCCATGTAGTGAGATGGTGCAGCTTTCAGAAAACAAGAGGCATGTTTACACCTGTGTGGGTGCAGAAAGAGGCCCAAGATCCCTAATTATTCCTAGAATATTACCTGGATGTTTGCCATGTGGTCTTTCTAAGTCAGTGGAACCATCCACGGTGTACAGTAGGATGTACCCCATAAACCCTTTCATTCTAATGAAGCCTGTGTGGGATGTGCACATGGGTACACACACACACACGCACACACACACACACACACGGAAGGAAAGTCTGAGAGAGCAAGAGCTGTGCTGTCACCAGCGGTCCCCCCCAGGCAAGGAGGGCACTCACAGGGTTTTGTGGTCCATGGCCTCCACCTCTGATTGTTTGAATTACTTATCAGAAGCTCTAATACTTCTACAATCAGAAAATTAAAGCACAGAATACTAGTGTACAGATTTGATCAATGTGCTGCTCTAATTTCCTGCAGTCCAAGTGGATACACCTAACCGTGACCTTGGCAGCCGGAGCACCTCCACGCAGGCAGGGTCTGCAATCACTGGGGCCCCAGGCCCCGGGGGAGGCCTGGGCCTTAGCAGAGGGAGGAGCCTGGAGCTCACCAGGACCTGGCACAGTGGAGAGAAGGCCGGTCCTCACGGTCAGAACATGGGACACAACCCCAGGCCCTTGTCTCAGGCTGGTGGTTGGGAAGATGTCATGGGGCTTTGTTTGATTTACAGGCTGTTGATAATCTGTGTGCTGCTCTTGGGGCAGTTTTGTTCTTAGAATTTTGGAAAGCTCGTCAGGACTATCCAACCATGAGCCCTCTCCCCCTGAAGCTTTCAGCTAACATTTCGTCTTTCTGGTCTGTCTGCTGGGGCTGATGGGAATGTTTTAGAGAAGCACACAGTCAGCTCTGCTGAAAGCACCTAGCGTCAGACCGTGGGCTGGGGGGTTGGGTTGGTGGCCTGGCATTGTCCAGTGCGGCCTTGTGCTGGCCTCCTCCGTGGAACCTGCGCAGCTCAGCCTGGTCCTTACCCTTCGCAGGGTGTGGAATGTCCGCTACAACCACTCGCACGACCAGCTGGTCCTCACCGGCAGCAGTGACAGCAGGGTCATCCTCTCCAACATGGTGTCCATCTCCTCGGAGCCCTTTGGCCACTTGGTGGATGACGACGACATCAGTGACCAGGAGGACCACCAACCGGAGGACAAGTGAGGGCACAGCAGCTGCGAGCTGCTCTCCCAGAGAGGGCTTCCTGCAGGGTGTGGTCACAGTGACCTCCTTCCTTGCGTCTAGGGGCACTGGAGTTGGTGCCTGTGACGGGAACCCGGGCTGGGTTTTGTGACGTCTGTGTCCCTCTGCGTGTACCCCGTGACATAGCCTTACTCAGTACCACAGGCAGGACTTCACGTCTGAGCCCTGACTGGTCCTGAGAGTCACCCCTGCTGTCACCCTGTGCCCTGAGCGTGTGTGCACTTCAGAGTTGCTGACTGTTTGCTCAGGGCCTTCGGCTGGCCGGCGGCAGGGCTGTGCCTCCCAAGCCCCCGAGGCCCCGCAAAGTGCGCTCAGCCAGGATGTATTTCCAGTCCCTTCATCCTGCTCTGTATTTTCCCCAAATCCCTCTCTGTGTGCTGTTTTCTGATCCTGATTGTGCCCAGTGTTGGGAGATAGCTGAAGGACCCTCTTCATGCCAGCCCACTGCCCTGAATCACACGGGGCTCTGGGGTCCTCTCCTAGCCAGGCACAGCAGGGATGCCGCTGGGCTCCCGGAGTGCCCAGGGGCTGTGCCTGTGTGTTGGCACAGAGGAGACACCATGTGGCAGCTGCTTCCTCTGAGGTGGCTGAAGGTGATTCAGACGCTGCCACTGAGGTTCACACCCCAGATTCCAGAGCACAGAGACTCAGTGGAGCTGTGCAGGCTGAGCCTGTCAGTGGGACAGGGCTTGTCACTCTGTCCCCAGATTCTTTATATGCCTTTGCTCTGAGTCCTTCCCCTGCCCACCCAAGTGCCAGAGATGGCCTGTGTGAAGGTGCCTCTATCTGAAGCCTTCTCTGCAGTGGGAATCTGCCATCTGTTTACCTCTCGGTTGAGACATGGTAACCACCCCCCTCCACGTCCTCTCCCCTTACCAGGGGACCATGTCATAGCTCTGACAGAATGTCCCCCTGGCACCCATCAGGGTCAGAGACACCAAGACAGCATGAGAGAGTAGTGCCAGTGAGGCCTCCCATGCATCTGTGGGGACCGTCCCACCAGCTCAACACATCCCCTGGTGGGGTCGCCCCATCCGCCCTGCCTGTCCTGCCCACCCTGCCCACATCCATATCTCTGTTGGGTTGCAGGAGCAAGGAGCCACTGCAGGACAGTGTCATCGCCACCTACGAGGAGCATGAGGATAGCGTGTATGCCGTGGAGTGGTCGTCCGCTGACCCGTGGCTCTTTGCCTCCCTGAGCTACGACGGGAGGCTGGTCATCAACCGGGTGCCGCGGGCTCTGAAGTACCACATCCTGCTGTAGGACGGGGCCTCCCCTCCCTCACCCTCTGGGCAGGGGCCATAAAGTCTGCAGGTTTGGGGAGGTAGTTAGTTTTCCAAATAGATCCCCTCTGGGAAGACCAACACTGCCTTCTGACACCAGCGTTAATGAGTGACGGCGGAGCTGCCTCAGCTGACTCTGCCATGGATACCAGACAAGTCCCCTCCTCGAAGGTGGAGCCCCGACCTGGCTGGGTGAAGCAAGGCCCCCCGACCACTCAGGTTTCTCTCTTCTATTATAGTGTATTGGGAGTTTCATTTTCAAAAACGGTTCTGATCCCACAAGATTAACTCCTCTTTCCCTTGAGGTTAAAATAAAATAAGTCCACGCCACACAGGTCTTATTATTTCAGAAGCTCTGCTCCTCATGGCCATGTCAGTGGGTCTTTGTTTGTTTGCCTTTTCCTGACCCAGAAAACATGCAGCTGGGCAGAATGCCCTCTTCACAGGCCACCTCCTGCACAGAACTTGGGGGACTATGCTGGCCAGCCGGAGGGGGGCTCCCCAGCCCGCACCCTGACACAGACCCTAAGCTGTGTGGCCAAGTTCCAGGGTCTGCCCAGCCTCCAGGCCTCCCCTGGCTCTGCATGTCTGTCTTGTGCCGTGTCCTGCTCCCATTAGCAGCCTTGGAAATGCTATGCTTGCATCCCCCAGGGTCAGATAGGGGCTTCTGTCTCTCAGCTGTTTGGGATCTAACTCTCACAAGCATCAACTGACAATGCCCCTTCTTAGGAATCCCCTGACCGCAAAGCCTCTTGTCTGTTGCACCTTCTGTGGGTCCATGGGTGCAGGTGCCTGGTGCAGGACCCCGCCGGGGAAGCTGCCAGGCCCTGCAGGCTGTCCTGCCCCCCTGGCCAGGGATCTCTGCATGTGCTGATGGCCCACAGCCCTGAGAGGCACATCCATGCTTGATACACCTGAGAAGATGAGCCGTTCTTGTTGGAGCCCTTGCTCTCCGGGGTGTCTGCGTACTGTCCTCTAAGGACACTGAGCCCAGAAGGGCACATCCCGGATTCTGTTTCCCCTCTTCATGGGTGAGAGTCCGCAGTAGAGAGAGGGCCCTGGGCAGGGCAGGTGGGGTGAGGCCAGCCAGGTGTGTGCAGGCCCCTCAGCATTTCTGCTTCCAGGTAAGACGTGCACATGTGGGGATGCAAAGTGGATCAGTGGAGGACTTCCCTCCACGTGCTGTTCTAATGGAAAGGGGTGTGTGTGTTTAGCAAATGGTAATTGGTAAATCGAGTGCCCCCTGTGTACTGGGCCCTTCTAGAGGCTGCTGAATGCCGCACCAGGGCGAGTCTTGGCTTACCTGGAGCCCACACATGCCAGCCTGTGCTGGGGAGGTGTGAAGACTGGGACCAGGGAGGGCCAGCGAGCAGGGCCCAGGTCAGGGGTGGGGTGCAGCATGTGGGCTACAGAGGCCTGAGTGGAGTGAGCAGGGGTCTGGGGGACTCTATCTTTTTGAGACTGGAAGCCATCAAACAAGCAAGGACCAAAGGTTTGGAATTATTCATGGCCTCTGGTAGGTTCTGTTTGCTGTCATTGCTGTGGGTTTCCACGCATGCGTAGGTTCACATAACCAACCACCACCATGGGTTTATCCTTTATGGCTCAGGCTTTTGATGTAAGGTCTAAAAACTCCACCTGACTCCAGGCCACCAGGGTCCCCAATGCTTTATTCTAAACATTTTATAGCATTCCATTTTACCCTTAGATCTGTGACCTATTTGGGGGATAATTTTTAAAATAAAGTATGAGATTTAGGTTGTGTTTGATTTCTTAGCATGCAGTTATACAAGCTTTCCAGCACTGCTTGTTGAAAAGACTGTCCCACCCTCCCTCTACCGAATTGCTTTGGCTCATTTGTCCAAGACCAGTTGGCCCTACATGTGGAGGCCGTTTCTGGACTATGTGTCCCCTGATCTGAGTGTCTGTCATCTGGGCATTCACAGGCATTTCATGAGCCCTCTCTACAGCACTTCCTGTCCGTGGGGCTCCCCCTCCTGCTCTTGCTGTCAGGTTGGGGCCTCCTCATCTGGTTGCTACAGCCCCCATGGCTGCCTGGGTCTGGGACCAGCGGCTGGTGGACAGGGAGAGAAGCTGCAGGTGCTCTGTGGTTGGTTGAAGAGGAAGGGTCCTCATCATCAGGGTCACAGCTTTGCTGGTGCTGTGGTTGCTGCCCCCTGCCCTGCCCCAAGTTGCCCAGGGGACTGCCCAAGAAGTAGCCCCTCTTCCTGAGGAGACAGGGCCTTCCCCACTCTCTGCTCCTTGGCTGGAACCAGAAGGCCCTGGCTGGGCGGCCCAGTCCTCATGATGTCTGCTTCCAGCTTCCAGCTCTGGCCTGTACTCAGGTCCTGGGGGATGAATAAGAAAGTAGCAAACTCTCCGGGCAGGGAGGGGCTGGCGGGACTGCAGGCTGTAGTCTCCTCTACTTCACGGCAGCCCTTGGGGAGCCGCATCATTTGCCTGGGCTTACAGCTGCCCACAGTGAGGGGACAGTGGTGTGCCTGCTCTATCCTGTGGGCTGGAGCCTGGCAGCACAGTGTGCAGGGTCACTCAGCTGCTGTGTGGTCAGCTGACTGCAGGGCAGTGGGGCCACTCAAGTGCACACGGAGGACAGGTGCAGGCTGTCTCTGAGACACGACAGGTGCTGGATGGGAGTGTTGCAGGAGGAGCCATCGGGCACACTGACAGATTCTCAGCAGGCGTGAGGCGGGGAGGCCTCTGCAGAGATCAGCAGAGCCAGTATCCGTGTTTGAAGAAGCAGTGGGTGGCCTGCGGCACCTCGCTCAGAACTGTCCCACAGCCCCCTGTGCCATGTCACACTCCTGCCTCCAGCAGCCCAGTGGCCTTTAGGGCCCTGACGGGGCTGTCAGCACAGTGCCAGGACACCCTCACACAAAGAATACTTCTCAGGCTTCATTACAGCATCCGTGGCCACCCAGATTGTTGAGAGCTGAACCTCTGGCACCTTCTGTGCGGAGGCCCAGAGAGGACTGCTCTTGTCAAATGGAAGTGCTTCTCCTTTGTTATGCTACGGTCTCGGTGAGATGAAATGCAACACTGACCTCCTCGCCAGACCTGGTGAGAGGCACCAGGAAAGAAGGTGGCCTTGCTGGGCTCTGTGCACAGTGCTGGTTCCAGGATGTTGCTGCAAGGTCAGTGTCAGAGATGAATGTCACCCCTGTGCACTGGGTGGGAGCCTGGACCTGCCTCTCAGCGCCCTGTCCAGCTGCAGAGGGCTAGAGATCACTAGTGACCCATGTACTCCCCCGGGACGGCTTCTGCAGCAGGGATGTCTGGCAGGGCAGTGTTTGAGATTGGGAACAGTAAGGTGTTTCTGGGGTCTGCTTGGCAGGGGGTTGGGGGGACACACAATCAGTTAGCAGAGGGCTTAGGATTTTAAGTTTTCAGGAATAGTGGGCAATTTTGGATTTAAGATGTTGCCCTGAGCCTTTTCAGCACACACTGTCCAGTGAGTTAGCAGTGCTCTCAGGTGGCTGGGGTCTGCACTGTCCCTTCTCTTAATACCCCAGGGGGGGGCGGGTAATGCTTATTAAGAGAGGGTCTGTCTTCTGGTAAGAGTAGGTAAGTGCTGCCCACATGTCCTGCCAGTGCTTGCAGTGCCCTTAGGCTGTCCTCCCCTCACCCCTGCTGCCTCTGCTCTGTCCCCTGACCTCCAGCCTCGCTGCCTGGGCACACATGGAACACGGCAGGGTCTGTGGGTAGCTTCTGGCCCCTAATCTGTGTGGCTGGGGCTGCTTCCTCTGGGAGGGGTGCAAGATGTTAGAGCACCCGAAGGCTGTTACAAGTAGCCCCAATGACACGGGGCAGCTCCAGCAGGGCTGGCTTTGGTTTGAGAAGAAGGGGCGTCCAGGCAAGGGTGGGAGAGGCAGGGACATTCCCAGGCATCTGCAGCTGGAGGGGCAGAAAAGGAGATGAAGGTGCCAGAAAAAAAAAAGAAGAAGAAGAAGAAGAAAGAAGGAAAAGGAAGGAAAAAAGAATGAAAAGAAACCAGGCACAGGGCGGCACCTGTGGCTCAAGAAGTGGGGCGCTGGCCCCATATGCTGGAGGTGGTGAGTTCAAACCCAGCCCTGGCCAAAAACCAAAAAAAAAAAAAAAAAAAAAAAACCAGGCACAGGCCAGATCGAGGGCGATGGACCCTGAGGGCCTCGGGCAGGGCTGCAAGAGTCAGCAGGCTGGACTTGGGGGTGCCCTGATGGCTGGTGAGCCAGGTGTGGGGGCAGCGGCCTGCCACTGTGCCTCCACTGGGCCTGGCCCAGGTTTGTCACCTCGATCCCCTCAGGGTGACCTGCAGCTGCCGCGGCACTCTCTTCTGAAGCACAGTGGGCTCATGAACCCTCGGCCCCTGCTGAGCTCCATCACAGGGAAGCCCATCTTGGCATCTAGAACATTCTTCAGGGTGGGAAGTCAGGGTGGTGCATTGGCCTGGAGATGTCTTGTCACCCTCATGAGAGGGGCTTGTGTGCCTCCCACTCTAATTCCCCATGGACACGTGTGCTGGTGCTGCTCGGGGTCCCTGCCGTGATGGCTCCAGGTCTATGCCCTATGGGCCACTGCCTGCTCCCCGGCTCCGACTGCCTTCCGACTCCATGAGGGTCGGGAGTCGCTTTTCCCAAGGGAGCATCCCTGCTGGGGATGTCCCTGCTGGGGATGCCCCGCTGGCCTCTCTCTAGTGCTCTATGCTTCCCTGTAGCCTGTCCCCCACTCACTGTCCCCCAGGCCCCTTGGTCCTGAAGGCCGCCACCTCCCTGCCTGCTTTCTGTTACTGACTGGTCAGTACCTTTCCTGACTGGACCACGGGAGGCCAAGTCTTTCCTGTTGGACACCACACCTCACACTAAGAGCTCCACCTGCCACACTCTGATTGACTGATGGCTTCTGGCAGGACACCTGCCCAGGGCTGAGACCTCTCCTGTGCTGGGGGTAGGCAGGACTTCAAAGGTCAGGGACAATGCAAAGTTAGTTACAGACCCAAGCCCCCATCCCCAAACTCAAAGAGTGGGGCTCATTCCCTGGAGACCCAGCCTGGGGGACAGGCATGTTCTCCCACCTGCTGTGAGCACCTGCTTGGCCCCCGCTTGGCCCCTGCAGGAGCCACTCACACGGCACCTACAGAGCATCATCAGCCGGCCCAGCATGGGGTGTCTGACCCTCATGGCCCCTGAAGTCCCTCCTGTTCCTCCAGCCCACACTAGCTGGGAGCTGGCTTCACACCTGGCTGCACTTAATTATACTCCAAGTGCTGGTGCGGCCCACCCTGCGCCCAGGTGACCCCGCAGGTGCGCCGCAGCTCTCTGGAGCATCTAGGGATG